GACATGTTGAAGTAGTGTTGAATTTTTGAAATATATATATATATATATATATATATATATATATATATATATATATATATATGTTGGTAATAGACCATAATTTTTTACAAAATTCTATAAATTCTAACGAATGTTTGGCGTTAATATGTTTGTATTTCGTTTTTTCAATTTTTCTCACTAAAGTTTTTTGGTGAACGTTTAGTTTATTAACGCCAAACATTCGGTAGAATTTATAGAATATTGTAAATATATATATATATGTATGTATGTATGTATGTATATATATATATATATATATATATATATTGAATTAACAAACAAACATTTTCAAACAAACAAATAAAATACAACTACCTTCTCCCATCCCAATCATTTAACCTGCCAAAAACAAACACAAGCGAAACTAGCTAAACGCCGAAACAAAGAAATTTACGATATTCCCAATTTAACTCTGTTAAAACTAAATTCACTTTAATCAACTTTATTATAAAACTTTATTCTTAATCAATAAATAGGAAATTAAATTTTTATAAATCTATCCGTGAAGATGATGCACTGACATCGAAACGTAGGAAAAAAAAACTTATAAAATAACTCTTGGAAAATCGGAAAACTTTAATATGAAAAGAAACAACCTGGTAAATTCGATCGAGTTATATTGTAATGGATTGAGAAGATTGCCGAATACACAAATATTTAAAAAAAGACTTTGTTTCCCACATTTCATAAAAAACAAGAACTTTGTTCTCATTTTTAAGTACCAAAATGTTTTTTGAACGGTAATGGTAGCAATTTGAAGAAACATAGACTTTTGCATGTTTAATTTGAATGATTCTTGATTACCAATCAGTTTATTTAAGACAGGGGTGGGCAAACTATAGCCCGCGGGACGCATGCGGCTCGACAAGCCATTTCATGCGGCCCACGAAGCTATCCACTAATTTCCACCTCTCAACGGTCGAAAAATATACATACGCGGCTCTCCAAAGGTAAAAAAGTTTTCAATGCGGCCCGCCAACACATTTTATGCAGCCCGTGAGGCCTTTACGCGATTTGAAAAAAAATAACAAAAAATAAGTTGGTCAGCCAGCCAGATTATGACCAAAAAAAGGCGTCAGCCACAAATGAACATCTTAACCAATTCCCCTTCCCCCCCCGATCAGGTCGAAAAATGCACATATGCGCCCTCCAAAGGTAAAATAGTTTTCAATGCGGCCCTCACATCAAAAGATTGCTCACCCTTGATTTAAGAAAAGTCGTTAAGTTTAAGAAATGAGGATAAACATAAGTTATACTATTATAGATATACGAAGATGTTTAATACAGATCAGTAAAAATTTGAAGTGTAACTACTACAACAAACGAGCTTGTTTCTAATTTATAAGTAGTTCAAGCTGTGGTTCAGTTGAAGACAGTATTCCGTGCAGTTGAAGGAGCACACATCCTGTTCCTTTTTTCTCTTAAACCACTCTCACATAAACATGTAGAGGGATATAGAAGAATGATTTTAATTGCTACAACAGTGAATTTAGAGTATAGCAAATTAGCATCGATCCAGAAAATAGCGAGTCAAAACACTTCCAAATCGCATCTTCAGCAGTTGAATTTTGATCTGCTACTTTCTGGATCCGTGTTAAATCCTAGTACCCGAAACTCGGTAGTAATAATAATAATAATAATAATAATAATAATAATAATAATAATAATAATAATAATAATGAAAATACTAAAATAATGAAAATAATATTAATTACCCAGCGTCCATTGGGATGCACATCAAAATTGAATATGGAATTGTTAATTATTACTGAAATTCTGCTGACTTGTTATCAAAATTTTAACTCACAAGTAAACCGTTGCGACAATTCTGCAATTTTTCTACAAAATTCGATAAAAACTAAAAAAAAAATTAATGCTCTAAAAACAATAAATTAAAGAGCTGAGATTTTTTCTAATTATGACAATGGTTTACTGGCCTACTAAATGCAAAAGTTTAATACACTATTTTTAATCTTAAAATAATTGTGGCTGTTTTAATTTACTGTGCTAGAAAAGGAATAGGTCGGTTGCACAAATGTGCTCAAAATACTGTATGGCCAGGCAGGTGCGTAGGTTGGATAAGAGGAAACAATGGTGTTCAACCTTAAAACTACTAATCATCTTTATCATCAGGCTTGATGAAGTCTCATTATTACTGCTCTCCTCACCATCAAACTCGTTATCTTATCTGCATTGTCTACACATTAAAACACAAATAATTATGAACAACATCGCTAAAAATAAGCATATAACAACATACAAAAACATAGGAAGAGTATATGAAAAACATGTAAACAGCATGCAAACAACATTTAAACATATGAACAACATGAAAATGTGTGAATAACATGATTAACAAATAAACATATAAGCAACATACAAATAACATACAAACAACATACAAACAACTAATGAACAAAAGTATGAACCACATATGAAAAAAATAAAAACCACATATAAACAATATACAAACAAAATATGAACAAAATATGTACAAAATTTGTACCTCCTTTTCCAAACTGAACAAGCTTCCAAAAATGCATTCATCTTCTTTGAACTGCCAAGAGGATCAAATATAAGAAATAAAAAGATTACCAACAGTGGACAACAGAGCCAGCATATGCCAACATTAACTTTTAATACTATCATCAAGGTATCAGGACATTCAGGGTAATTTATAGCATAACAATAATAAGTAGCAAAACATATGAGTAAAATTTCTGGCACATAAAAGAGCAATTTTATTGTAACCATGGCTGGTACAAATCTTCTTTTATTATTTAAATCAAATATAGTTCCTCGCATACTATTAGCCATTATTACAAAATTAAAAATAATTATAGTCCCGACAAATATTGTTATCGAGATGCATAAGGCATTCAGAACATAATAATTATCACATGTTGCTAAACTGTCTTTGAAATGAATGACTGTTGTTAACAATGATATAAACCTGAAAAATAATAACAAATAATATTAATTACAATTACAATAATAATGACTAATAAATCAAAATAAAAAAAACCATATGAAAAACTTTGCGAAAAAATAATTTGGTAGGTATTGGGTAAGTAAAGCTTTAATTTAAAGATTTAAATTTTAAGGGAATGCATTCTTTAACTTTATCATGACTTATCAATTAATATGAATAAAATTATTTGTCTTTGGACAGCAACAATTTTCAAATGTCAATGTAACAATGAGAATAGTCAATAATTCAACTAAACATTTGTTACATTAAAGTTAAACTTTTATCGTGAAAATGATGATAGTTCGTTTTTACCAAGTGGTTGATAAATGTAAACAAGCGTTGAACTTTTAATTAATTCAATGTAGAAACTTAGTTAAAAAAATCATGCTTACATTTTTACAATTACTCAATCACTAACAATCAAAAAAATAATGTGAATAGATCAGAAATGACTTTTAACATGATTTCCTATCATACCGAAAACTAGAAGTGCTTATTATTACACAATTGTGTCTGTTCTTTATAACTTTATTTTATATTATATTTAATTTTAGTATTTTAGAATTTTACATACCAGATAATTCGGAAAACATTCTCCCCAATCATTGGGTATACAAAATCATCACTACCAACTCTCCACTTTCTGTTGAAAAGAGTGATAGCCGGCATGCTAGCTATCTAATGATCGGAAACCAACCAGCAATCAAAAAAATTTGTTATGAATGATTTATGAAATGTCCACTACCCTAATCTCGCTCGGAATTTACGAGGAACATTTTGTTTACAAAGAATGAGAAATTTTGGATGGAGAGGTTAGAAGGGTAGAGAGCATTCATGTCTTGTTATCAAAAGTTTCAGTGTCATTGGTGTTATCTAATGAATATACATTTATCTACGTTGTTTTTCTATTGCTTACAGCTTGCAAAATACAGTAACACGTATAATATAAATTTAGTTTGTCAATTCAATTACTCAAGATAATTCAAACATAATCAACAATGGCCATCCACTGACAACCTATAGCCAACAACCTATAGCCAGCGATATACAAAACAATACCATACATTACAAAACAATACAATGCACTGTAGAACGGCAAGTCGACTAGACATAAAAGAATAAAAAAATTTGAAAATTGTCACTACACCTCGGTGATGTAAAACCTATCCCACATATTTCAGATGCAGTGATGACGTAAGTACTCAAAAAATGTACTTAAGTATAAGTACTGAGTGCTCAAGTATAAGTACTAAAACAAATTGTATACTTGATACTTATAAGTACTAAGTATAAGTACTAAGTACATAAGTACCTAAGTACATACCATGGTTAATTTGAAATATTTATAAATTTATTAAACTCAGAAATCAACTCATTATTTACAGTAATTTATTTACATCAATAAAAGAGTCTGTTCTTTTTGAGTAAAAGTAAAGTTTCAAATGATTCATCACTTAAACGATTTCTTTTAGGAGTGAGAATCATTCCAGCCTGGCTAAATATACGTTCCACAGGTGCTGATGATGGCACAGTGGTATTGTACTTCAAAAACACTTGTGCGACAGCAGGATACCTAAGGAACAATAATATAGTTGTTAACCGAAATAGCAAATTATTAATTTGTTATTAATACTTGAGAATAAAAATGTATTAGAAAATCAAGCATATACATATTATACATAAATAATATATTACAGAAAAATATTGATTACCTTTTGAGTTGTTCCATATCATATGAAGGATCACTAAGATATTGCAGTCCTTCAACTTTTTCATTCGATCGTGATTCGGAACTTGGTTCGTGGAATCCATAAAAATCTGCCCTAGTACAACCTCTAGTATTTCTGTCTTCATAAACTGTTGAAGAATTGCTCATTCTGACCACATCTGCTAGAAACAAGTCTTCAACTTGCTCACGAACTGATGATTCTATCCACCTCATTTTAAAAAACGGATGGCTGATCGAAGCCACAACAAATGCTCTCATCTTGCTGTTGTTTGAAATATCTTTAAAGTCAATTATATCGCCAAAGCGTTTATCCATGCCACATTGAAGAGCAGAAACAAGAGCTGAAGTGTACGATGGAGTAAAAGATTGCAGTTTTCGCTGTATAACAAATATAGTTGGTAAGACAGCACCAAAATAAGACTCCATTGAAACCTCACCTTGGAGCTTGTCCAATGCTAGTGAAATTGGTCTCATCAGTTCCAACCACTCATTAAGAAAACTCAAATCTATATTGCTGAACTTCGGCAGCTGCAAACGTTCCATCACAACATTTACTTTATCGCGAAGACTATATATAATGCTATAACAGTCAAATTCAGAATTCCAGCGTGTCCCATTCGGTTTGGGTATTGTTCTGCCTAAGATTTCATGCACAATTTCAGCAGCTTTTGAACTCTGGTGTGATGCGGTGCTGAGAGAGACACACTTACTGGATACTGATCTATATATTCTTTTGTAGTTTGAATCATTATTCAAAGCTTTACTTGCATCAGTTGTAGCAAGCAAGTTTAGAGTGTGTGAAAAGCAAGATACATAAGAAGGAAGATAAATTCCGGAGCTGTCATCTATATTACTTTCCAAAAACTTATCACCAATCTCAACTGGAGTCATTTCTGTATCATCATCATCATCAACATCTATTTGCGAATCATCAGAAATACCTGCCTCTGCAAATTCCTTGAATGCTTTCACGAAATTGCTATCATTGTCTGTCACGACATTTACTATTTTCGATGAATCCAGATCAAACTCGCTGTGAATGTTCACCAACATGGCTGCAATTTTGTCATACGAATGAATTCCACGGAACCTACGGAAGGCAAGTGTAACGCCATTGCGCTTAAAATCATCTGGATTTATCCAATGGCAAGTTACTCCAATATAACTTCGAGCATGCTGCGTCCAAATGTCAGCAGTCGTGCAAACAAATTGAAAATTTTTTAGAGTCTCTTTAATAGTCTTCTTCATATCAGTAATCTTTGTGGCCAGAATACCTTTTAATGTCTCGGTACACATAACTCGGGCTTTTGAGTTCAGACCCTGTATCAAAGTTTTAAACCCCTCTCCTTCCACAATTGAAAGTGGTTGCAAGTCGTTGATAACAAAATTAATTATTAAATCCTCAACCTTTTTATTTGATATTGATGATACATTTAATAAGTCAAGTTGCTGTTGTTTTTTATATGGAGTTGAAACTGTGGTAGTTTCTTCATCTGCACCTCGCTTTCTACCCGTCTTTAATTTATTTTCTTCCTCGTGCTTGGTAAAATTGGATGGAGCTTTATGTTGTCCACGAATAAGATGTCTTTTTGGCTTGCACAAGTCACAAAGTGCAACTATAACATCTCCATCATCTTCAACTACTTCATTAAAATAGTTCCTAACTACTAAAGGCATCTTTTTATCAGCCATTTTCATCAAAATCACTTCAACACATATATTTATAATGTAAACAAAAACACTTCAACACCTATATCTATAATGTAAACAAAAACACTTCAACACTTATATTTAAAACGTGAACAAAAACACTTTAACACATATATTTATAAGGATTGTTATATATATATATATATATATATATATATATATATATATATATGATAACTACTATATATAGCGTGCATGTATATATAGATCATGTAGAGTCTATGATATAGATATATAGATGTCAGAGTGATGTGAGTTAACCACCTTTTAATGACTCAATTAGCCAATGGTTATCTTAACATCCCGATATCCATGACTAAACAAGAACAAATGTTGATAAGAGAGATAAACAAGAATGTCAATGTGAAAATGTGTGTGTGTGTTTTCATCACAGTTTTCAATTTTTAAATGTTGACAATATCTTATTTTTGCTTAAAATTTTTCTGGTACTTACAGGAAAAATTTATTACTTATAAGTACAAGTACTGAAAAATGTACTTAAGTATAAGTATTTAAGTGCAGGTTTGCGTATGTACTTAAGTATAAGTATCTAAGTACTACATTTGTACTTAAGTATGTATTTAAGTACAAATGTGCTCAAGTACTCGTCATCACTGTTCAGATGTATAATGCTCGTTTCACGGGGTCGAGATTTTAATTTCATGAAAACTAAAAGACGGACACAGGCACTGATTACGGTTGTTTAATTTTTCAAAAACGTTAAACTTAGAAATGTCGTGTTCACCCTTTAAAACATAACATGCCATTAAGAAGCTGACGAAAACTACGGTGAGTAAAAGCAGTTCGTTTCATTTGTTTAATTAAGGTATTAATTATAAAAAAATGTGAAAAACTAACAAACAGTCAGCATGTTTAGAACATTATGTTGTCTTTCATGTAATATAAGTTTCATCACACCTAACAATACAGATTTCAATGAGAGTATGGGCAATATATTATATCCATGCACTAGCAACTATATTGGTTGCTGGTGCATGGATTGGATAGGGTTTGGGTAAGAACTTGAACATGAACACACTTAGCACATGAACACACTTAGCAACGTTCATATGTTGGGCAAAAACAGTTACTTTCGAAATACGCCTTTTGTTAAGCTTTTTCAAAGCACGAAGTATGTGAATATTTCTGACATGGTTGTTTATCCGAAAAGTTATTCATTTGATGTGCTGTAAGTAATAAATAAGAAACACTATTCTTTTTACGACTCGTATAATTATTCGTAATGTTGAAAATTTTGTATTTATTGACAAATATTTGGTTATATTGCGATGAATTCAACTTGGATACAAAATTGGTTAAACATTGGAAGGGGCCGAAAGGATCACAATTTGGATTTTCAATTGCGCTAACTCATTCCAATGGCTCATATGTGTAAGTATTTTTTTTATTGAAGAACGCAACTTTAATTTTTTGCATTTGTTGCAATATAATTACGTAGGTGCACAACAAATACCAAACAGCTCCAATTCTTCATTAGATAATCAAACGGTTAAAATAACTAAGCTGAATTGATTGGAAATGCAAAAGTCAACTTTCTCCGAAACGATACAGAAATGAAAATAATTGAATAATTTAAAAAAATTTGATAATAAAATATAAAAATACTTATTCAAAAAATTAGAAATATTTCAAAAATTAATTTTTGAGATTATGTTGGGTTGCGGTGAAATAGCTGGACCGATGCAATGAAATCTAAATAAGGAATCTTTAAAATGGAACTAAGCATTTTATTTTTAATGTTCAATCTTATTATTAATTTTCTATTCGTTCAATAAATTTATTCACTCAATCGTTTTTTTTTTATTCAATCATTCAATCAATCATTAGTTTGTTCTCTCAATGATTATTCATTCGGTCACTGAATCACAAAGATTTTTTATTTGTATTAATTTCCTGTACATGCTGATTAATTAGGATGATCAGATCAATATCCCCGATGCCTTTCCGATGCAATTTCCTTCTAGCCGAACAATTAATTTTTCGATGTGATGGTGCCTTGTTGTGCACCGTCATTGGACTTATTAGTTGCGTTTGAAAAAAAAAATTTTTTTGCTACTAAGTCAAATAGAATTTTTTGATAACTTTTCTATCGCATGATAATTTATTATTCTATTTAAAAAGTTTATCAGTTTGAAATCGCATTTGCAATTAATTTTAGTTTACTCGTGGGAGCACCTAGTTGTGGAATGAATAAAAAGTTGTCGTTGATGGAAGGATGCGTTCAAGAATGTTCCGTTGATGAAAACATTTGCAAAACTACGAAGTTTGAACGTGTCGGTTGGTCACCTTTATGATTCATCGTAACGTTCATACGTTGTTTTTCCCATGTAAATAAAATGATGAGGTTTCATCTTCCATGCATTGTTTACAGTTTATTTATTGTTTCGTATTCTGTTTTCTGCCTTATAAATGAAATAACAAAATTTCGAGATCTGTTCACTTTATTTGATGTTTCTGTGCGCAACTGAAGTCCATTGTTTCCGAAATGGTTCAAATTGTTTCACGCTTCCTAAATATTTTTCTGTAAAATTTTAACATCTGAACGATTTTAATGATCTGACTTTAACAAATGTTAAAGCAAAATAAAAATTGTTTATCATTTTTCCAATAAAATCAAATCAGTTATGAAGTGAAATGTTAAAAAATAACTTTGCAGGATCGACGAAAGAATGGAACGGTCAGACGATGATGCCGGTTGAAAACAAGACTCATCAGATGCTAGGCGCGTCTCTAAGTGCTTCTGCTAACGGTTTAATCGTGGTACCATTTTATTAATTTTCATGTGCCTAATATTTTGCGACCATAGTTGGATTATTTGTTTTGTTATTAAAATAAATTGAGTAATTTATAATTGGTGTGAAAAATGAAATAATAAAAAATATAACCAGGCCTGCGCTCCGAGGTACGTCTTCATGTCAAGGTCGGGACTGTTGAGAGAACCAATTGGCACGTGTTACTTGAAAAATATTTCCTCCAATAAATTTTACAAGCTGCAACCATGCAAAAAAGGTGACATGTTTTTCAAACTTTGAAAGAAAAATTTCTTCTAAAATATTTATATTTGAATGAATTTGATGTGCAAACTTTTGTCATTCACGTTGATGGAATGTTGAAATTATTCGCTCCTGTATGTTAATTAAATAATTTTTTAGACTTGGTGCTTTGTTGCGTTATTTTTATCGTTTGAGGGCGTATACTGCACGGTTATGACACGCCCATGTCACTGATATGTTGAAATATCGCTCAGCAAAGATGAATTCAAATTTGAAATTACATTAAATAAAACATCAACGACCCTTTAGGATTATTAGGCCATCATAAACAAGGACACTGTCAAGCTGGATTCAGTGCTCATTTAAGTCAAGTTAGAACATTTCTAAAAATACCTATGTAATGTTGTAAAATAATAGGTCAAGTAAAAATTTGTGAATTACCTCAAATATAATTGCAGAAACCTTATTCAATAAATTGAGTAGTGGTAAGAACATATAAATAGAATATAGAATATATAGATAAAATAGAATATAGAATATATATATAAAATAGAATATAGAATATATTCTATTTATATGGGTAAAAATAAAAAAAATTAGGTGAAATGCAAATCTTTTTGTAGCAAAATGAGTGCTGGGGCGTTTTGATGTATGCCAGGTTTCATTCGACGTTTTACAAATCAGTTTTTTCGTTTTCCTTTACAGACAATGCATCTTACTTTTCACATCAAACAGTATCACGTACACTTTCTTTGATTTTTTATGGCACTTCTATGCGTTTGTGCGGCAAATTTTTGTCAGTGTTAATTTTCGGGTAATCCATATATCAAGAGTTTCATCGATGGGAAATTTAAAAGTGTAATTTTTAATTTTTATTTGAAATTATAAAAAGCTATTTGATTATTTCATAAAGGATGGAAAAAATTTAGCTTTGGGAGCCGTCGGAAGTTATTTCTGGCAAGGTTAATTGGTTATATTCGTTGTCAATCTCAGTTACCTTTTGTTCATGTATTTGTGATAAATGAGAAAAAAGATTCAAAGTAAAAGTTAAACTATTAGGCTGTAGAAAACTCCAAATCTTAAAAACAACAAATTTATTAAAAAGGAGGATTTAAATGAATTTTTTTAAATTCTCAAAAAAATATTTAACGTTTTGTAGTCAATTCACGAAAAGCCCTTTAAACCTTGAAATTAAATAAGAATAATGAAGCTCGATAGCTTGCAAACTATTTTTTCATTCATTACGTTAAAGTTAATTTTTTCTTGCGATACTGAAAATAAAAATAACAGCATGTTGGCGTTGATTTTATGATTTTAAAATAATTATTTTTCTACGACCCATAAGGTGAAGCATTTTTATATAATTTCGAAAACGATGTGGACCCCATTTTGCCACTCGAAACGTCCAAAAGTTCTTACGATAAAGATTATATCTACACGGGCTATTCCGTTTCTATGAGTTATTACGATGAAGATGATCTAATTGGTAGTGTAAATATTTTTTAATTCATCTCATGCATTTTTAAAATAATTTAACTATTTTAAGATTTGGTTGTTGGAATACCAAGAGGAGGCAACCTTAATGGGCAAGTATGTTTTCTGCAACATTTCTGTGATAATATTTGAATAGTTGTTACACTGATAGAATAATGATGTTTAAGTTAAATAAATATGGATGCGGCGTGAGGGCTCTGTGGTTGAATGCGCTTGTCTTGCTAGTGAAGTGACTGGGATCGAATATCGAGTACAAGGAGATCTATCCAAGTCGATATTTATTGCATTGCCTATAAAACCTAATGCAACCGAAGGTGAACTTTATCGAACAATCAGCTTGATGAGTCATTTTACAAAACTTCTCTTGAGAATTCTGATGATGAGAGCACGAAGGAAAATCAGATCTGAAATTTCAAATGTCCAATGTGGTTTTGTCGAAAATTGTGGCACAAGAAAAGCTATCTTTATGCTACGAATGATAAGTGAACGAGCTATTGAAATGAAGAAAAAAATCACTAATTTTTTTGGAAATAAAGAAAGGTGTCAGGCAAGGCTGTGTATTTTCTTCAGACCTGTACAATCTCTATAGTGTGAAAATAGAAGAAATACCTGGAATATCGATTGGAGGCGTGAATAATTAGCAATGTAAGATCTGCTGATGATACAGATCTTATCGCGGATTCAATGGAAAAACTGCAAATAATTGTTTCCCAACTGGTTTTTGAAAGTGAAAGGAAAGACTTGCAATTTATCATCAACAAAACAGAGTGCATGGTTATCAGTAAAAGCAAAACCGTCCCGATATAATCAGCTTCAATTATCTCGGAAGTCTGATTACCTCAGGTTCTAAATGGGATGTGGATATCAAACGAATGATAGCTATGGCAAAAAGATGCATATACTAAAATGAATGACATCCTCACCAACAGTAAAATCAGAATATCAACAAAATTAAAACTGTTAGGATGTTACATTTTTTTCTGCGCTTTGAGTCCTGGATAATTTCTAAAGAAATAGAAAAAAGAATTAATGCTGCTGAAATGTGGTTTTTGAGAAGAATTATGAAAATTCGTTATACCTTTCATACTTCCAATGAAGATGTATTAAAACAGTCCGGTTATGAAGAGAAAATTACTGCAAATAATCCGACGGGGGCAGTTAGTGTTTTTCGGTCACATCATGTGAAAGGAAGGAATAGAAAACCTAACAACTACTGAAATGATTGCTAGCGAAAAAGATCGCTGTCAACAACGAATAACATTCAAAAAGTCATTGCGTCACTTTGTTGAATTTCACATTTCAACTACTACAAAGTGTTAAAAATCTGATTATGTGGAGGTCAATTGTCGCTAATGTCCTGAAAGGATTAGGCACGAAAAAGAAAACATACATTTGTAGTCTAAATAGGCAACGTCAATTTTGCACATAATTTAATTTTTAATAAATTAGAAACAACTAACAAGCAAGTTACCCTTTAGAATTTTCTTTATCCATAATTTTTTTAATCGAAATAATTGCTTTTCAAATGTCAAATGTCATTATCTTCCTGTTCTATGAGTAGTGTAGGCATTGCACAAACAAATCATAGACCTAAATGTTTTTGAAAGGTTGAAGGGCTAAGGTTAAACCAACTTAGCTTCCATATCCACAAATATTGTTTCAAAAATTGTTGTCACCCAGTGACACAAAATTAACATTACTGAATAACAAAAATTCACCATATACATGCAAGATAAAACTCATGATCATACAACATATCAGGTGAAGATACTATCAAACAACCTAACCCTAATTCATGAAATCATGGGCACTCAGGTATTCATCTCTAACTTTTGAAATTTGTATCTTGAAATTTCATTTTACAACAATTCTACACGTGTTCAGGTGGGATCGTATTTTGGAATGTCTCTTGCCAGTGGAGATTACAACGGAGATGGGTGAAATATTACCTGCAGTTGCTTTGACGTTTCATATTAAGAGAAAAAAGTTTTTTTAATTTAAAAAAACATTTTGGTAATTTTTTCACAAAGTAAAAAATATTGTTATAAAGCTTATAGTCCAAAATGCAAACATTAAACTAAATTTTGAAATAGTTTGTCGACATTTTCAGTTCAGACGACTTAGTTGTAGGAGCACCGTTGTACGCCACTTCCCGATCAACTTATGATAATGGATGCATACACGTCTATTACAGACACAAATCTGTACGTCATTTTCATAAAATGCATTTTTACTTTGTTCGTTATGATAAAGCCTTTTTATCTATGTATTTTTTGTTTAACTGACTTTTTTTTATCGTTAGATGTGAATAGTTAAAAATCCTCTATATTTTTTGGCATCCGCAAAGTTAGCCGACTATAAGTCAATTTTAAACTGAATATAAAGAAAGGGCTGCAAAATTTGGAAGGCGATAGCCTTAAATTACGACTTTTACTAAAGTTCATATTTTATACAAACATTGGTTGGTAATAACATTCAAATAAAGCACTTAGGTAATCAGGAAGATAAAAAGCATTTTTGGGAAATTGTTTTCATTCAAAAAATGATTTTTTTCTGGCTACAAGTGGTTCAGCAAGGCGTAACAACCAGATTGTCTAAGTCGGAGATTTTAGCGGAGTCGAAATATTTTATAGGTCGGAGTCGAAGTTGGATATACTCCGACAGACTGGTAACAAATTGTGAACACGTGAACCGCAATATTTGTAACATCACATACTGGAACTACAAAAAACATCCACTTCATTCGGTATAAAGATTTGATATTGTTATTATTCACTCTAAAAATATTTCTCAGAGATAGGCATAACATGTACGGAATATAAAGTTAAACTGTTCATTATCAGGTCAGCCAACCACAGCAAACAATAAACAGTCACTAAAACTGAATAACTTTAAACATGAATGTCAAACAATCCACACGCTAAACGTGAAACCAACCAGCAAACACGCCACACAACCACTCCAATATATCAGTCCAGACCAGTAGCAAATTTAGACAACGTTGACCGGGGGCCAAAATTTTAAGTGTTGAAATTCTTGAAAAAAAAAACTTCGACTCCGGAAAATGATATTCATTTTTTTTAAATTAATTTTTTTCTGAAAACTATTTTTAAAATTGTGTTTTTTAGAGGATGAATATTTTTACTTATAAACAATCGTCATTATTGCTGAAAATAAATGCTAATAATCACTTTTTTTCAGTATGTTGTAAAACTTTAAGATAAAGTAATTATAGTAAGAAAAAAAGAAAAACAATTACATTTTCAGATTTTAAGTGTTTTTAAAGTAATTTTTATTTAGTAGTGATAATAAAGTAAAATTATGGTGCATAAGTTGACAATTTTTTCTGGAATTCGGAACCCGTAATCGTGGTCGTGAATCGGAAATTTTTCCCGGAGTCAAAATCCGGAGTCGGATTTTTTTGAGGACCGGAGTCGGAGTTGGATTCATCCAAACCGAATGAATTATAATTGATAAAATTGCCACAAATCTGAAAATAGGATCACTATAATTTTTTTAATTTTGCTCCGATTTCACGACAGGCATTTTTGGAATTAAATTTAAAAAAATCAGTTATTAAAAACAGAATTAAATTTTATAAAACTAATAATTTCTATGATGGTGACAAAAGCACTTGAAACGGATTGAACTCGATAAAATAAGTTTCGAGTATTAGCGCATTATAAACCATTTTGAAAGTAATGATGAATTAAGCTTTAGAATTCAGTTTCGCTCTAACACTACTGAAACATATCGAGACAATTGAAATTGCTTTTTGTAAAAAGATCTGCTAACTTATTTAAAATGATAGTAACATTTGATTCAATTTGACACCTTTTCAATTAAAGTACAATGTATGACTGTGGGAGCCATTCAAATAACATTGTTCTGTAAAATTTTTAAAAACTATCTGAGCATAATGTTATAACAACGTTATCAAATGAACTAAATTTTAAGTTATGAGGCTATATTTTAACACGAGGCTATTTATGACATTTTACGGTAAATGAAAATTTTTACAAATTTGTTGAAATAATAAGTCGATCATTTTTTTTATAAAAACAATTTTTTGCGAAAACAATTTTTATAAAAACAAATTCTATATAAAAAAATACATGACGTATTGAAAACAATTATAAAAACAATTTGTATGAAAACGTGACGTAGTGGGATCAATTTTAAAATCTTTACTATTAAAAATAAAAAATTTTGATCGTAAAACAAAAGTAAAATAGTTTGAAAATGAAAATATTTGAAATGTCATAACGATTTTTTTATGAAGGAAATGTTTGAAGAAGATTCTTCATTTATACCAAATCCTTCCAAAAACAATGGAGCAAGGTTCAACTTTTATATTCTTACGTTAATCATAACCAGAATTTTTTGCTATCATATACAATTTGATAAAATTTAGATTTGGTTCTTCAGTTGCAAACGCAGGTGATTTAAACTTGGATGGATTTCAAGGTTGTTTAAATTCAGTTAATCAAATTAGAAGTTGTTATTTTTATAATTGGTTTGAGTTTTTATTTGTAGCGTTAAAATTGAAATATATATTGCAGTTTTAGTAATATATTTACCCATGTTATTTTGTGACTATAATGAAAATCGGTTGAGCACATACTAATAATAATTTTTTATTGTTCATCACTATTGTTCAAGAAATATAATTTAAATCATTTTTGAAAATTGATCGGAATATAAATAAAAAGAAAAACAAAAATAAAAGATTTTTTCTAAGAATGAAATTCAAAATTTACAACAAAAATATATTTATAGGTTCAGTGCAAGTGAAAAAACCACTTACGAAAAAAACCTTTAAAAAAAAATCTTTAAAAAACCACTTACGAATTTTGCAAATATTTTCAGCCTCCCCAACAACGGGGTTCTGCGCCATTTTTGAATGCTATCTGATCATAGAATTGCCCCATTCTTATGTTCATTAAATTTCAAATTGAGACTACATAAGGCTTCATTTGAATATGAGCTTATCTACTGAAAGCAATGACCGATATCAAATTTCAATATGCCCTGGTTAATCCACTGTTTATATTTCTACAAAACAAACTCGTTTTTTTTCATTTATGACAATTAGAACTTAATAAAATAATCACTGTTATGAAATTTCCTTGCTAATGATCGAGCAATTGTTGATAATTATCACGATTACGCAACGCTAAATAAATGTGACAGCAGCGGTTGCCTGCATATCGAGATATCTTAATGACACTTGCAATGCATTAGCTTTTCAAGCATAAACCTTTTGCAATAGAATAACGTTAAACAGAGCCCTGCAGTATGTCAAATTTTAAGATAATTGCTTTCATTATTGCATTCCTTCATTCCAACCTTCTGAGCCATTGTTCCCTATTTTTTACAACTCCTATTTCCAAAATATAAGCGCCGGCTCAGAATTGACGTATTTATTGATGCTACCCCCACCATCATCACTGACACAGGAGAGGCAGCAATGAACTAAAATTTGTTACTAAGATATGTATATTATATACTTGCCATTGTAAAATGTAATACTGATTACAAAATTACAATTTCAAATGTGAAAATGTAACGATTTTTTTTATAGTTTTTCAAATAAAAAAATAAAATTTATAAAAACTATTAAAAATTTTTGTTACAAAAGATTTAGCAGTCGGTGCACCATACGATGGAATAGATGGCGGTGGTGCTGTTTATATCTTCATGGGATCGTACGCTGGACTCTTGCCCTATCCTTCACAGATCTTAAATAACAAATATCATAACGGGATGCTATCATACCCATTGAGAACATTCGGATTCTCCCTATCAGCCGGATATGACGTTGACAAAAATGGATATCCTGGTTGGAAAAATTTATTTCTTTTGAATTTGTATTATTCATTGATAAAATATATTTCAATTTTTATAAAAATACAAAGTGAAATTACTTGATTTAAGATTTATTTTTAAACTAAAAAAACATCTGTTTGACACATTCTCAATATTTTTTCAACTACAGTGGTTATTCAAACAACTGAAAACTTAACAACTGAAACTAAACAACGCTTATCATTATTTTCATACATCACGGTTAGGTGATAACAGTGTAGAATGCATTATGAAGAAAAAAAATCGTAAATAATTTCAATATTATTATTAATGAGAATAAAGAGTTTCTGTATTTTTTTTAATTTGAAGAAAATATTCGGCGAAGTTATTTGATAGTATTCTTGTTTCGTCATCAGCGAAATATTTGTAACCTGTAAGGAGTTTTTCACATCATCATCCAAACTTACGTCCTGGAACATTGCAGAAAATTTGGATGGAGCATATGTAGACGTGAAATGAACAAAAACTGAGCAATTGATTCATGTATTGCCGTAATAAAAATACATAATACGTCAGGGACAAATTGAATACAAAACTTTGTGCAAATTTCTGAAACAAATCTGGCTAATTGAAAAAGAGCAAATTATGGTGAGTTAGCTTTGGCTGAGAAGAAGAGGTAGAAGGTTTCAAAGTCGTTGCCGTTTATGTTCTCAAAATTTTAACGCATGGGTTCGAGTTGGTTATGCTTGAAATATTTAAATACATTGGAAGTCAGAAGTAGATGTTTTGTGATGTCATAAACACTTCATGAGTAATCAATTTAAGATAAAATTAAATGAAAAATTCAAAATAAGTTATGAACCAAATAATATTGTGTGCTATGTGTTCCTTGTGCATCATTAACCATATTACCGATATTTTCTGCAGCATCGTTAACCATTTTACTGATATTTTCAATACTTTAATATTGCAAAGGTATAAATATTAGGAGCGAGTGTTTCAACGTTTTATTTTTTAATAGCGCAGCTAGGTCACCCATGATACTTATGTCAAGAAAATTTAAACACAGTTTAGTTGTAAAATTTAAATATAAATGTAATTAATGAAATGTCCACAATTATAGAAACTTGTAATATGTTATTTCAAATAAGCCAATGTTAAAACGACAGACTGCGATCACGCAATATAACATAGGTCTAACTTGCAAATCTTGTTGTATAGGGGAGTTTAAAAATTATACATTTTCCAAAAAAAGTAAGTTTATAGAAATAATAAAGGTGACTCAAATATGATCATTTAATCCAAGTATTTAACGACAAATATGCGTAGTTTATTCAGAACAAAACTTGATAAAATATTTTATTATTGTTGACAGATTTGATGGTAGGAAGTTACCAGACTGAAACAGTTACTCTTATAAGGTGCATTATTGATTGATTGACTGATTGATTGATTAATTGAACATTTACATTATTATTACTCTAGGTCTAGACCCGTTGTATATGTCGACATTGAAATGAAAGCAAACTTAACAATAATTGATCTGGATACACTCTCCTGCATAAGCATGGAAGGAAACGCATCAAACTGGTTTGATGCCATATTTAGTTTTGTATTATAAACCTATACTTAGAATAAACATCTAAAATTAATATTGAAAAATCAAAATTAAAACAATTTGAAGAGGAAGTCTCCAAAAAATACATTAAAACTTTCAGTAGCTTTCTTCGATTTATACGACCGCATTTTAACACGAGGATGTCTTAGTATTAGTTGACTAGTTTAAAAAATAAATAAATATGCTAACTCTCAACTTGAAAAGATGTCATTTATTTCCCAATTTGCACCTGTAAATAATAAGGCAGTATTTTTTATGAGAACAAGTATTATTATATGACCATTTATATAGCGCCCTTTCTCAAACCAGAGATCGCAGAATTTTTCAATACAATCATCTGAATTATTACGAGCAGTTCGACACATGCAAAAAACTCAACCAGTAAAAAATAACCTCACAGAAACGTTTACAATACGTTATAAATTGAGGTTAAAAAAAGAGATGCAGTCAGTTGGCGGGTCATATATGTATGGGTGGTAGCGTTATTTTAAATATTATTATTTAATTTTTATTTTAAATTTTTTATTTTTGTGATTGAGTGAATGATTTAATTTAATTAGTCTGCTTAATTGTTCAAAGATATAACTTCTGCCTAACTGGTGTTACTTTAAATTGGCTGCTGACATTGTTGTCGTACAGGTCGCGAATGTCTTTTGATGTTCTAGTTGTGACTTGTGTCAAACGTAAAGAGATTCGCCGCAGTGTATTTGAGGAAAACTGACTCCAAGCCCTTTCTTACACTACTTACATTGAGCTTCATTAGTGAAAAATAACTAACATAATTTAAAATAATAAAATTCATAAAAAATTAAATATAAATGAAATAATCTGCCATAATATTTAAGATTAATTAATAATCTAACAAAATTTAAAAAGAAGTTGAGAACATTTAAAAATTTTTTAAGTTAAATGTATATTAATGTTTTATTTTTAATTTTATTCATTTTTTAAGTTTAAATGTATCAATGTTTTATTTCTAAGTTTATTCATGAAAATTTAAGAAAATTGAAGTATTTAAAAGACATTTATTTTACTCATTTATGTTATTGTGTTATTTTTTGGGTTATTTACTATGTTATTTCTTGTTTTATGGGAGTCAACCCTAGATAAGCATTTATTGCTAGGCTGACTAACGGGTTCGATATTAACTAAATGCAACGACAGATATATTATTAATCCTCCTTTATTAAAACCTAACTAAATAATTAATCGAATAAATCAAATTAACGAAAATGCAACGATACAATAACCAACTTTACTAATGTCGACTCCGGCACAAGAGCCACAGAAGAGAAAGAGGCTTAACTCATTTGCGCAGGCTATTTATAGACTTGCACGATGCTCTCTCCTAGGTAACGCTTGTACTTTGGTCTAGTAGCCAACCCACGTGACCATACGGCGCTCTCCCCTAGGTAAGCACACGTGCTTTGTGCTAGTAACTAGCCCACGTGACCATGTAATGGAACAATTTCCTAACAGCTGACTCTTTCACTTTATTTTTTGTGAATAAATAGAATTTTTAAAAAATGTCAAATAAAAGTCAAAAATTTAGTTTAATTTTAGCGTGAGTAGATCATATTTTGGTGTTTTAAACAAGCTGCCAGTTTATTGATGTGTACAATTGAAAAATATTATTTTTTATTTGATTAGCTTTTTGGTTGAAACGTGTTTGTTCTTTAATGGATATGGTCTTCCCTCTGTTTTAAGTTAGTTATATAAGTTTATTTAAAATTAAATTTATAGCAAATTTAATTTTGTAAAAAAATTTAAATAATTTGTTTTTTGCTAATTTTTTCAAATCAACAGATTTCCATTTAACATGGAATTTAGACAGTTCCTCGACAACGGATAACAAAAGAATTGACTATTTAGAACGAAGAACGATCAACAATTCTTCAAGCTCTGATTATGAGAATATTGAATATGAAAATTATATTGTTAAGACAGGTACAAACTCGCCGTTAACTCTTCACATAAACGAAAGAAAATGTTTATCACTTCTATTGTTTCTAAAGGTTTTATACCCTTATGCACTTGTTAAATATTTATTTGAAAAAATGTATGCTAGATAATTTATATGTACATTTATGTGTCGGTGTTCGACTTAATATGAATATATGTAAATATCAGGGTAAGTGTGTATATATATAAATTAGGCAAGGTAACGAATATGCATTAGTCCACGAATTGCAGATATTGTATGTGACATGTAAGGGTTTTCTTGCTATAGAAACCTCATACAGCAACAGCAGCACCAGACGCCTTTACCAGTACAACTTTTGTTGGCAATTATCAATTTATGAAATCAACATAAAAATACAAAATAAAATTATATCTTTTATTTTGAAGGACAAAATCAGGGACAAACTGAATCCGATCAGCATATTTTTGGATTATAACTTAGCGGATTCCCAACTTCAAAAAAATGGAACATACCCCGATGCTATCTTAAATATTTTCGCTCCTTCTGTTTATATCTTGGTGCCTATACAAAATAACTGTGGAGCTGATATGATCTGCATTCCAGATTTGAAGTTGAATGTTTCAAGGTCAGACGTTAAAAATTTTACAAAGTTATTTATTTTATTATTTGGCGAGTTATATACTCCGGCTAATTGACAATTCATAACAACATTACAATTGGATAGGATGGATATTACTAATTTGTGAATAATCTTAAAATTTTGATATGTAACGAACACTCATTCAAAACAAACTTATTAAGTCATACCGAATAAAATTGTTTTTTTATGAATGTTTAATCTTTAATTAATGCAACGAGTTTTGCATGTAAAAACTGAAAACCATGGCATATGATGGGAAGGAAACTGGCTCTGCATCGAAGAACATTGAAATTTATAAGCATTCAATCCTATTGCGAATTTGACGATTAAATCTAACAAACATTCTATTCTTAAATATACAATCACCAAAAAGCATTTTTCGCTACTAGCAAACAAACTATTGAAACATCGTAACAGCATTTCCGACCATTTCATTCTCGGGTCTTTAGAAGAATTGGAAATTGTTATCAATATCTTTAACGACGGTGAAGATGCTCACGAATCAGTTCTCTTCCTTGAATTGCCCCCTGGAGCCTCTTACGTCAACATAAAGCACATTAATGAGGTTTTCTCAGTTTTATTAACCATTAAATGGTCATTAAATTAAATCATATCAAATTTTAATTATCCAAGAAATCTCTTGATGTGTCATGTTGTTTGGTTTCCAATAATAACATTCAGCTAATTACATGCGATGTGGGTAATCCACTTCTCCAAAATGACTCGGTCAGTTATTCAACGAACCAAACTTCATAAAAACTTTTTTCAAATTATAATGGAATACGCGCACTAAAAAACATAACTTAATATTTCTTTGAATACAGGTTTCTTTCGTTGTGCGGATATCAAGTTATAACGTAAATTTTCAAACACGGGAATTAATCTTCAAACTTTTTGTAAACAGGTTGCAATAGTTCAAGTGTAATAATTTCTTAATTTCAGTTGTTTTAAAAAATTATTGTTACAATTTTAGATTAAACTAGGGTAAAAATAAACGTTGCATTTTTGCAGTTCAAACAACGAGATGCCAACTCCAAGTTTTAGCAACGAATATGAACTTTTAATTAAAGCAAAATCTGTCATTGACGTGGAGATTCGCGGGTTTATTATTTTTAAAATAATTTTTATTACATTGTATTTTGCAGTATCTTACCATTTTGAACAATATTAAGTTTCGGTGAAACAATTATTTTTTGATGCTTGATATTTTTCGCATCTGATTTTTATTAATTCTCTTTATTCATTGCATTTAATCATTCAACAGATATTAAAGCACAAACATCCATATAAACTTTCAATCAATCAACCGATCAATTAGTTTATAAGGCGCTCTCCTCAATGAATTTTGCAAACAGATTGGTCTTGAGATCCGCTCTGAACTTCGTAAATGATGGAGAAGTAGTCAGTGAAGAAGATAGAGAGTTCCAGAGAAAAGGGCCAGAAAAAGCAAATGCAGATTTAGCAAAAGAGTGTTTAACATGAGTTAAGAAGTGAGAACAAGAAGACGATCGTAAACCGGTTTAGGTTCAATTAATAGATCTGATAAGTACTCAGGAAATAATTTAGATTGAGACTTATACATAAATGCGCAAATTTTAAAAATTATTCTATTTTTTATAATTCTTTTTTATATATATTTTTTTATATTCCATAACTTTGTATACTTTTATTAATCATCACAAAAAAAAATAAATAAATAGAATGATTTGAATATTGGGATTAATTGCACTTGCTTTGATTATAATATTTTTAATTTTTATAAAATTATTTCCAAAAAACTTATTGAATTATTTAAAACTCGTTCTATCCATGCTTAGTCGTAAAAAGACGAGCTTTGGACTTTGCAAATTTGAACGTAATTAATATTAAGTATTTTTCGGTAAATGATTTTTCAAACGTAACGTTTAATTGAGATTTTTAAATGTTCATTGTCAACAACCTAACCTACCTATAGAGTTTCCCTCCCGCAACAAATTTTTTGCAATGATACGAGAATGACATCAGAAATTGACAAGGAAAGCTTTGAGGGATCGTTGGTTACTCATCTCTATGAGGTTATATTTATCGAAATTTTTAATAATTTATTCCTATATCAAAAGTGTCGGTGTCAGTTGGTTGGAGTCGGAAATTTTTGCCGTTATCGAAATTTTTTAAATGGGAAACTAGGAGTCGGATTTTTGTATCCAATTCTGACTCCAGAAAATGTTATCTATTAAAAAAATATTTATTTATTTGTAGATTTATTTTAAAGGTTGTGTTTTTAGAGGATAAATATTTGTACCAATAAACATTCATCTTTAATAATGAAAATAAATGCTAATAATGTTAATAAAATCACATAGTTTTGTTTCGGTATGTTGTAAAACATAGATATAAAGTAATTTTACCGAAAAACCAATTAGATTGACTGATTTAAAGTATTTTTTAAAGTATATTATATTCAGTAGTGAAATATGATGCAAACGTTGAAAAAATTTTCTGGGTTTCAGAACCCGGGTCGGAAGTCGGAGTCGAAAATTTTTACCCGGAGTCGGATTATTTTGACGGGTCGGATCTGATATTTTTTATCCGACTCCGACACACTGCTTATATCTAGTCAGGAGCAAACTTTTTTGTAGAGGGTCAGTGAAGCAAAATTTATTAGGGTTTTTAGAGGGTGATTTTTGAAAAGTGGCAGAAAATTGGTGGTGACACATGTATCCACCCCCAAAAAGGTCTTTTCTACTGTAAACGCGTAAGGACAAATGTCGTTCAAAGACCGTTTTAAGGCGATTTTTGGGGTTTATTAGGCAACGCTAACAATCCAAGTGGCGTTAAAATGATTTTGAAATCCTAAATTTTGGTTGGGTAAATTTCTGTGATTGTCATCTTCAGAGCTTTAAATAAGTTGAAAATTTTAAATATAAATTAAAGATTTGAATGAAAACTAAATTGGACAATAAATTAAATGTAAAAGGAGAACACATAATCTTAATGTTAAATTATATAAGAAGTAAAATTTGAAACTATGTTAGAACAGTTTTATCAAATATGGAACTAAACTTGATTGTATTAATAATGGTAAATACATGTCACAATTTTCCCACTTCTGTTACAAACTAACAATTTTGCAGATAATAAACTTAGGACCAGGTCATATAGACAAACTGTTTGTATCCGTTAACTGGTCAGGAGAGAGCAGCAAAGTAATGTTCCTTTTTTTAAATGATTCTTCTGTTCTACCAGGGAAAGTTTTCTGCAAGGTACTTGTCATTCACATGTTTTAATATTTTTAATATATGCTACATTTATATGACCAAAGTAAGTGTTTGGGTGAGCGTGTGGTTTGTACAGTTTCTTTCAGCTCCCTCCAAAAATTATTAGACAAGTCCGCCATCTGTGATATAATTCTTGTTTTAGGTTGTTTATAAAATTAAACTAACTCACAGTCAGCCAACCATTTGAAAGAGAAAATAAGCCGCATCAAAAACGCAAAGATACTAGAAATGTTATCATTATGATAATAAAATATTTATATAGCGCCAATTAAATAAAATTTTAAAGCTGCTATAACAAAAACAAATATAAATAAAAGCAATAGTCAATTTAACGGATTTTGACGTTATTGACTTTTTATTAACTTTGCATTTTTTCTTAGAACATACTTAAATTTTCAGTGTTTTGACGTTTCATTAAACAAATGTACTTTTGTCGTAAATTAATTGCTCATGATATTGTTTTTGCAATGATGCTGGGACTGATTTATAGAAATTTTAAATACCTTCGAGAGGTTGCAGAAACTGAATCTTTCTTCCGTGAGGTTTAAACGATTTCGTGGAGACTTGTATGCAGCAATTTTTAAATTGCATATAGTTGTCGGATTGAAAATCCTAACGACTAAAAACTAACAATCATCAAAATGGTTCGGTGTTCTCAAACATTAGCGCAACCGCAACATAGTTCATGAATAAAGAGTAGTGGCTTTAATCCTAGAAATAAGCATACAAGTTTTGTTAAATATAAAATACTTTCATGAAAAAATATATTCCTATATTTTATTCAATTGAAAATTGTTGTAGAAATCGTGTAAATGTTTTTTCTCTGAAATCGACACTCCATTTTCCACAGATATGCGATGGTGCTAGAGAGAAATGTGAAATAATTTGCGTCATCCATAATCTTACGAATAAGGAAAGCGTACTGATAAGAATTGAAGCAAAGATCTACATCAATCTGAATGAACAAGTTTAGATTTTTTTAAATGTTAAATATTAATTTAAGTATTCAACAAATATACGAATAGGTTACTAGATATATCTTTTCTTAAAATCTTAAATTTAATATTTCACTTGCTGACAAATAATTCATATAACTTAAATATTTTATATAATAGGATTATTTTGATCAGTATAGTGCATTCTCTTCAGAGGCTAGAGTTCTTAAACTTCAAGTACCATACAATGTCACACCAGTATTCAAGAGCAAGCTCTTCAAAGTATGGTCGCATGTTTAATTTCAACTTTAACAACTTCTATATTACCCGATTCAGAAATATTAATGAAAATAGTTATTTAACAATAGATAACCTATGAAACAATGAAAATATAATAATGATAGATGATGTTGAGATTAACGCAATGTTTTAAATGAGTTGGTGCCGTTAAAGAAAAAAATCAGAATTAAATTATATTTGCATTGACAATAGTAAATTTATTCATTTAATTATTTCCATTCATCTACAATATTAGTCTATTAATTAATAAAAAAGTATAAAAATTATTTTTAAATAAATTTTATTTGTCACCTCAATAAATTTAAGATAACCACAAAAGTTTTCATGCCAATAACCTCGTACATAAGAAGAGAATTTTGGAAATTTGTAATAGGAATCCTCGTCGGATGTTCACTGCTGACAATTGCGATGCTCATTTTATATGAGGTTTCATTCATTCGTTCTACTCAATTTTTTTTATTCTCAAACTTGGAAAATTTTTTTAGAAAGGATTTTTTAAAAGAAAAAAAATCGACGACGAAGATTATGAAGATATTCGGCCCCACAAGACATACAAGGTAGTCAGAGAGCCTAAGCGATCCGACGATTTAAGATATTAATGATTAATATTTTTGAAATTTGTCTAAATCATTTCCAACTCTCGTATGAAATTTTATTTTTAATGTTTAAAATTTTAAAATATTTGTACTAAATTATTTTCCTGATCCTATTGAAACATTGTATGTAATGTGTTTTTGTATTTTAACTGTCAACATTTTTATAAACATTTGAGTTTAAAGAACGAGTTCTCAGTTTTTCAACAAATTTGAAAATGAGCTGAAAATTTTTTAAACTTCATTCATGAGGATCCTGAGATATGCTCTTAGGAAATTATTAATTATACAACAATACGCTACACGAATATGGCACATGCTACAACCCTACAACAGATTATTTACTATTATCAAACGTACCTACTTCAACTTAAAAACTAACAGGAAATTAAAACGGCTGATGTCGATTACTATTAAATACATCAGCTTGGTAAAAAAGCAAATATAAATACGCTGCCAAAGAGAATATTGAAATATCGTGAAAACATTGTTATTAAATATCATGTGTCATGTTGATTTTTCTCGAGAACGATGAAAATAATCTTAACTGAGATATTTATGATTATACCGTTATTATACCCTACGAGATGTATGGTAATGTTTTATGTGGATCCACATACTGTACTCTAGTTAATAAGATAATAATAGCTTGAATAAGGTACTTAAGAGTATGCTGCGAGATTGGGCGTTTAGAAGACGCCGAAACTCTATAACGGCAATATTACATTCTAAATATTGAGCAACTAAATATTTACTTATCATTAGGTGCAATATATCCAATTTATCATGAAAAAACTATCAAAAAATAAAATTTTTCATAACGCTTTCGACTAACACCAGCCAAATAGGAACAATTAGCGCAATAAGATGCAGAACCGAAATTGGACAGTAAGAAGAATTCAGCCTTGGAATTCAATGCGATTATATAAGAAAATTTTATAAATTACATGTATTTATAAAACGATAAAAGACAAATTTTTTAATATTTAACATTTTTTATTAAACTTGGATTTTTTTATTCTGTTAGACACAGAGAATGTAACAACATGCAAAGTATGAAACGATGAAGATATAATTATGAATATAATTAGGATAAGATGCATTTAGTTGGAGTAAAATCAAATAATATAATATAGAAAATAAATAAATTTATAAAGGTTATATTTTTATAAATTTTGTTAGGTTGGAAATGTTTAATAATATTTAATAATTCTGTTTGGTTAGAAATATAATGTATAGTTTGGTTATTTTAGTATTTAAAGGAACGATAAAAGATAAATTATTTATATCTAACTTTTTTTTCTCATATTTTGAATGAATTTATAAAGTTCATGTATTAAATAATTTTGTTTGGTTAAAAATTTATTGTTTAATTATATTAGGTTAAAATTTATATTTGTTAAAAGCTTTTATTTGAAGAAGGATGACATTAAGTAATTTTTTTGCATTCTTAGTGTAGATTATCATATCATGATAAGCATTATTGTTTTCTATATATCTTTCTTGTTATTGGTAAGGTTAAATAAACTTGTTTGGTCTCCAGACAAAATTTATTTTATAAAATTTTTTTGGGTGAATAAGATATTTTTTGAATTTGAATAGGTAGTGGTTTATTTTATTTTAAAAACTAATTTGATTTTGGACAAACTTGGTTTTTCGTTTTTCATTTATGATGCCCAAATTAGATAAGGAGGTCTGTCCATACTTTTTGTATCTTTATCTCCTGTGTTTGTTGCCAAATAAAAGTTAGAAATAAAAAAAAAATATAAAACTTTGAACATCGTTTAAGATTGAAGAAATTAAGGAAATTTGTTCTACAATCCCTCATAATTTCGTGCAGATAACCAAAGTGCGTGCATAAAATAAGAGCTGTGCAACAAAGTGAACTTTGAGTCGGGAGTTGCATGAAACGTTGTAACTCAGTTTAAATGTTTTTAAAATTTGTATTCAAAATTAAAAAAAGAATTTCTTTAGCTAAGAAAAAACAATGGGTTAGCTTAAAATTTTGTTTTGACATTAGCTACCACTATTACAAAATGATAAAAGTATAAAAAAGAATTAAATGCAAACTTTTAAAATTGACTGAACAATTTTGTGGAAAACGTTTTCATTGTTCTCTCTGAATCTAAAAATTTAAAATTAACCAAATTATTTTGAAACATTTCTTGAGATGAAAACTTTCATGAAAACAAATTTATTACAATGATTCGTAGAAACTTAATAAAAATTCAAAACATTACGCAACTCAATATCATTCAAACACAATGCAACACCTGTTAGAAAAACACAAAAAACGCAATCATTTGAAATGCAAACTGAAAAGTAAAAGTTACACCAACCCGACGAAACAAACAATTCAGTGTTACCACTGTGAAGAGGAGGCTGTAGGGATCAAACATTCATTTATTAACTATCTTATGTATTTATTATTAAAGATTATTGCAATTTTCAATGTTATCTAATCTATGTTAATTTTTATGTCTTTGCTTCTCTCTCGATTTCAGCCCTTTTCCTGATAGGTTGTAAACGAAACGGTTCGAGATTCACGTGGGAATAGAGATAATTTTTTATTACGCCTGAATTGTGTTTGTTTTATTTATTTTAACTCACAACAAGGTGTCTTGTTAGTAGCATAAGTTCGTACTAATAAGGCCATGTACCACTGCTGCTGGAATGCGAGTTACTGCTCCATCAAGTGCCAGCAGGATCACTGGCAAACTGAGCACAAGAGGATGTGCAAGACGCAAGAGAAACTAATGCTGCAGAGAAGGATGCTGGCAGTGATGATTGTAAGGATGGGTGGATGATGCTGTATATATTCTGTCAATGACCACTATTATGATATCAAGTATTGGTAATGAAATTGCAAATGATCAGTCTTGCGTTAAAAGGCATTAATGCTGACATAATTAATAATAGCGATGTAAGTGATACTGATGTGTGCATGCGTGCGTGTTCGCATTATGTATTTTTCATGAAACGTTATTTTACAAAAAGTTTCATATTTTTGATAAATTTTTATAACGGTCAATGACAAAATCCGCGAGCAATCAAAAAAATTAATTGATCAACATCATGTAAAAATATCTACAGTCAGTATATTTTTATACTAAAACAATTTTGTAACAATAATTTTAGCAATTGCACTATTTTTTCATAAACATTTCTTCAAAATACTGCCAATTTTTTTTAAAATTAACAAAACATTAGAATATTTCAAAACTTGTGATGTAAGCATGTGATTTAACAGAACACACATTGCAAGGGGTGAGAGAAGCAAGCTTCTTTTTGTTATGCGAAATTATTCTAACGATAAGTTTGCTAAGCCTTTGACGTGTATACTATAGTTTTCAGTCATTTTTGAAACCATTTGGGACAACCTCCAACTTAACCTATGTGATAAATTAAAAATTTTTTTTAAATATTTTATAGTTAAACTTAAAAAACAGAGAATTAATTCACTCCTGAGTATAGAACTTGTAGGTCCGTGGTTCTTTACATGTTTCGTATAACACATTTCAAACAGATGGGAACCATCAGCGTACCAAAATATATTGAAAATAATGAGGCGTGAACAGATGTTTTTATACTTCCAACTATAAACCACTTACACAGCAATATCTAGAAATAAAAAAAAGAAACATAAAAAAAGTGTAGCGTAGCAACAGAATTGCTATAGAAATTTCGGAAAAACCCGTCAATTCACAAATCGTCGAATCTCTACACACAGATAGAAACGCATCAAATAATTAATATGCTACAACGTGCAATTGGAGTCCTTCCCACCAATGAATGTTAAATTAGAACACCGATGAATAATAATGACTACATGACTTGAAAATGCCAAACCACACAAATACTACCAATACACAGAACAAAGAAAATAGAACATGTGCAAGTGCATAGAAAAATATGTCCATACTTAAACAACATATCTATCCAACTAATGATGACATAAAGTGGTTGAACATCGCAGAAAGAGCGCTTGAAAAATTATTTGATTGGTTGAAGCGTGTCAAAAAAAGTTTTTCTGTTCAAATCATGCATAGAATAAACAAAAATTTTGTTGGTTTGAATACAACAAACAGAATATTTAATAAACCACAGTTACAAAGATTGAAGTGTTCATGCTGAAAGTAATCTTATTTTTGACAATAAATTGAATATCTGACTGTACCAACCCTCTCTCTCTCTCTCTCTCTCTCTCTCTATATATATATATATATATATATATATATATATATATATGTATATATATATATATATATATATGTAAATGTTGGTAATAGACCATAATTTTTACAATATTCTATAAATTCTACCGAATGTTTGGCGTTAATATGTTTGTAGTTCGTTTTTTCGATTTTTCTCACTAAAGTTTTTTGGTGAACGTTTAGTTTATTAAAATTCAAAATAAACTTATTTTTCGAATTTATGCTGCAAATAAGGCCATATTTCGATTCCGAATGAATCATCATCAGTGCTCCTTGCTGTATATATAGGGAAATATTGACTT